AGTTTAATTTAATTTTTAATTAAAATAAACTTAAAATTCAATCAAAATGTACTTGTCAATTACTATTTCATTCATTTTAAAATATTTTTCTGGATTATAAATTTTTTAACCCACTTTTAATGCATCCAAAAGGAGTAGTGTTCTTCGTAATAGACAAATAATTAATCACTCTGCCTAACCGTGCAGAACAGATACAACTGTGGATTGTGCGTAAAAATAATAAGGAAAGCACTGGCATTATATTAAATTATAAGAATAAAGTTAATATAACTACAATGTTATTTTGTAATATTTCATATTATATATGAGCTTATATTATATATATTAAGTTATGTAATTAATTAAAAAAATTTATTATAAATAAAATTTTAGTGAATGATTTTAACTAATAAAAATAGAATTATGTACGAAATTTTAAAAGCATGAGAACTAGTCAAAGCTTCACCAGTATTACCGTTTACAATTTTAAATGATTTGACATTTATTAACGACAATTGTTCATGCCCATTCATAATTGAGCGCCATTTCCTTTCCATTTCACAAGGACGCGTTTCCCATGGAGTTGAGCTCTAGACCCGAGGCAGAGAAAAATATTCCACTAACATTTTGAAGACGTGGCTATGCTATCGGCGACAGAGAAAGGAATCCAAGGCAGAGAAAAATATCTGAGAAAAGAGAAACAATGAAAGTTGAAAAGTACGACATTATGTTAAATTATAGTAATAATAAAATTAAAATAATATATTTATAATATTATTTTATAATATTCATGTGATAATATATTCTAATCTGCGTAATTAAGTAAAAAATTTTATTATAAATAAAATTATGGTGACCGATTTTAACGAATAAAAACAAAATTATAGACAAAATTAAAATATTTTAAAATTTTAAATATATACCATGGCTAGCTTTTTACTGTTTAAAATGGTGGTACATTTCTAAATGATAACTGCACATACTCATTATACTCATTCATGATTGAGTGGTATTTGGCGTTGATGCCAACTATTGTCTCTCTACCATAAAAAAAAAAAAAGTTCAATTTTAAACTTTTTACTATTAATTTACCTTATATCCTCTTTCTATTATTGTTTACCTTCACATGTTCTCCCTCTATTTTTGAAAAATACATTAATGTCCTCCCTCCATCCATTTTAGAGGTGAAGTTACTATTAAATTACTGCTTTTAAAATAGAATTTTGGAAATCGTACCAAAAAAATAAAGAGGAAACTTGA